ACGCTGACAACAGGCTTTTAAATGTAAAACAAATCATCAAACTCTGAAACATAACTCACTGTTTTGTTTTAAAGAGAGTTAAGATAGATTAGTTTCATTAACTGTTGATGTAAAGTTGCAGAAATGTGCTTAAACTCTTTCACACATTCGTTCCTGTGGGCTGGGAAACTTTCAGACAAACACAAAGAGTTCATTTTTAATATTTTTCTATTTGAAATGGCTTTATTTTTAAACTTTTAAATATTTTACATGAGTATTACATGCAATTTAATTCAAATTATAAACAATAACAATAGCGCCCAAAAGTTTATCTGCCCAAAAAATATTTTTTAAAGCTTCTTTAAATCATGTTCATTTTGTCTAAAAAACAACCAGCATTATAATGCGTACTACTGCTTTTATGATCAATAAATCTGCTGGTTATTTTCTCAATTAATTGATTTAATAAGTTTGTTTATAAAGAGTGAGGAATTCCTGTCGCAGTTTCCCAAAGTTACATTTTAAAGTAGATTATTCTGTTAAACTTGCAGATATGAATATTTACTGACGCAGAAAAGCTGCAATAATCACATCTAACAATTAATAATTATTGACAGTAAATTTTCTGGCAGTCGACTAATCGTTAATCGTTTCATATATGTTATAACTTTTGTATCATCGTGATGTGGTGACATGTTTTAGACGTGAATCAGCTTATTACCAAAAGACCCAAATCAAAATCTATCTGTGTGTTTTAGGGCTCTGACCTGTGAGGTGTGTGTGTGTTTATGTGTGTGTGTGTGTGTGTGTCAGTTGTCAGCAGAGCAGTATACTCAGCTCCAGCTGATCTGAAGTCGGTAAAGTTGTAAGTGTGTGTGTGTGTGTGTGTGTGTGTGTGTGTGTAGCAGGCAGGTGATCAGAAGCACTGCACTGATGCAGAGCTGATGGGACTGACATGTGAGCACTCCTCACCACGCTCTGCGTCTGTAACATCACTTCATTCCCACTCTGAGGTGACGTTTTATTATTCGCTCAGTGATAACCTCATTAATGCCGCCGCTCGGTGTGCAACACGTCCGGCTGCTGCTGCAGGCTTGTTTGTGTGCTGACAGATAGCTCTTGTAGAGGATATCAGACACAAAGGGAGAAAACAGAGTTTGAGATTCGAACACGAGCCTCAGACGGCGGCGTCCGTTTACACGCAGTAAAATCAGTTGTCACTGCGAACAATTCTTGTCACAATATTTCCAATCAGCAGACGCAGACTGCGTGGAAACTACTGCTGTCAAAATATCTGACATGTGAAATATTTTGACACTCAGGGAGGAATAGGAAATTACAGAAAATCCTTCAAACAATACATCATGACGTGGGATTGGCTTTTTAAACACGTTCATTTGATTCACGGCTGAAATCCTCTATTTGTTGATTGTCTGTGTTCAGAGTGAATCTCTGCTCGTTTCAAACTTAACTTTAATAGAAACTGAGATCAATCACAGCAGCTCCTGGTGCTCACTCCCTTCCCTCTGTGTCTCCTCACTCAGCTGACATTTAGCTACCAATAAGAGCTCCTCCTTTACCTCGATCTGCTCTCCTCGTTCTAAGAAATGCTGTTTTTTTTGTCCTGTGAATCTCCTGGTGGAGGAATGATAATGACGCCGGCCTCTGCTGCAGCTACAGCCGCTGACTCTCCCAGCGCAGCAGCACAGTGTGTGTGTCTGCCTCACATGGTACATACTGAGGACATACCAAGGCCTGGCAGTCGCCTGCCTCCCTGTCTACCAGGACGTGTGTGTGTGTGTGTGTGTGTGTGTGTGTGTGTGTGCGGCTGAGGTAATAGGTAGAGGAGCAAAAGACTGCCCCCTGTTGGTCACCTCTGTGAAGTGTCCTGCTGCTGCAGGTTCAGATTTGGTGACTTGGCAAATGATGGAGAACACCAGAGAAGTGATTTAATGGCACACACAGCCATCCTAAAGTGAGGTGTGTGTGTGTGTGTTTTAGATGGCTGTGTGTGCACGCACATGTCTGCGTGTGAGACTGTGTGAGTGTGGCGTGATGCATTAATCGAAACCAGAGCAGAAAGTGAGAGCGTCCAGCTCTGTGGGGTTTGTGCGGTCTGTCTTGTCCTTCAGTGCCCTCCTTATTTTTTCTCTCGATCGCACACACAAAGACTGTTTTTATTGCTATTTTTGTACAAAAAAGGGAAAATATACAGATATTAAATTCTGTATTAAATACCACTGATAAGAGCAATAATAATAACAACAAATCCTGCAGAGATACAGTCATAGTCAGTGATCAGTCTACCTTAGGGCGGGGTGACATGTCAAATCAAATATCACATGTTTGATCAAATGCTTTGATAACCATGTGGACAATAAAGCTTTAGCTTTTTGATAAATGATAATCAGTAATGTGTAATGACAAAGTGCATGACGGCAAACAACAGCAAACAGTCTGGCGTGTTCAGAAAATGACAGTACTTTACTGTAATACAGGAAAATACAACATTTAAGATGCAACGATATCCAAAATCAAATATGTAGTCTCATATCCTGATATCAGGGCTGTGCATTAAACAGTTATATTGATATCATTTTCTTTGATTGAGGTAAAAGTCTGATAAATCCTCCATATAATTAAACCACCCATACCCCCATAGAGGGGGTGTAATGCACCTTAAACACCACTTGCTATTAACCAGAAGAAGAAGAAGGAGCAGTTGGTATACCTGCAGCTGGAGCAGCTACGTGACTTTCCCTCGTCAGTTCCCGATCAGCCCCCTTCGCTCCTCGGCCCAGATTCCCGATAAAATTGATAAGTTATCAATCAGCTATGAAGTTTTACGTTAAAAGAGAGGCGGTTAAGGTTAGCGTAAGGATACCTTACCTGGTCTCACTCTGAAGTCGTCAAAATCCAGCTGTTGGTCAGTGAGTTGTGGCGTCAGATGCTGACGAAAAAAGCCATCCTTTCACGTCTACGTGATGTGTGGCCAGTAGCTGTTTTAGTTTAATGGTGTCCGGTGGCACTGGGTGGAAAGAAAGTTACGAGAAGTCCAGTTAGGGTCCAACAACCATCGACATCTCGAAAGACTGTAAAGCCAAATCCTCTTTTTTGTTCCTAAACCCAACCACATACTTTTGTTGCTGAAGGGAAAAACAACGTCACTTTGTGGTGCTTTTATTTTGAAAGACTGTATGCAAACTGTACATTTCCTGTGAAAACAGAAGTGTATTTTGAAAACAGACAATGCATGTAACAGGCTGAAGTTGACACAGCGTCCCAGAACGTCAACAACCAACACACCCAGGGTACCTTGGACGTCATATGTGGACGTGGAAAGTCCATGACCAAACGGATGTGATGGTCGTGTGCGCTACAATGTGTCTGCAGCTGTCTTGCAGCAACAGACCAGACCTGCGGCCACTAATACGTACAGTTACGCTATAACGTTATTTTTTTGTTTCGGTCACAGATAACAGCTCAGCTCAGCCCACGACTGAATTCACCACGTTACGTTAGCTACAGTAGCTTTACAGTCAGCTTATATAGTGCTGATGAAAGTTAGCGAGCTAACGTAACTGACTCGCAGCTGTTTAATCAGAATGATACGACACAACATGACGAAAGGTACATTTATAAAACTTTGCTTGACAGTAATTGAGCCCACGCTGCCTCACGACGTCATCGAAGTCTGTCTGTTGTTGTTTTGGTCGAGAAAAGACAGAAATTGCATAAAATAGGCTCAAAACTTGGACCGGAAGTTTTTGTTTTGGCCTTTTCTTTTGTCTCCATCTTGAGCCAAAACACTTTAAAGCATCTTCACACAGAGTTTGATCTGATGACCAGGACTCAGATTTCTTTGTTGTTTTATTTATTGAAGGTAATTTATAATTGTTTTGAATCTTTCCCTCAGATTTGTGAAATGTTGTGCTGTTTGTTTGTCACGTTCTGATAATAAATGATAGTTTAAACCTCAATTTATCATTTTCAGCGTTCACTCAGGAGCAAAAAATGATTTTGACTTTTTTATCGATATAAACTGTTTTGAGTTTTCTATGGTGATCACATTTTCAGCCACATCGCCCGGCTCTACATGACATATCACTGCATATTACAGTGTACTACACGCATCTTCTTGCTGAGCCTTTATTTTCATTTTCATCATCGGCGTTGCCATAGCGATGACCCAATGACCTGTGCAACGCCTGTCCCCATCGTCCCATCAATCAGATGTGACAGCTGTCAGTCACTGAGGCCACGGCATCGTGCTTAAGCCATCCAGCGAGTGTGTTCTGCTTGTCAGCCTGCCCTGCTCGGCACACACACACACACACACACACACATGGCGTCCACACTGTATATTTGTTTTCTACCTCTCCGGCTCTGCGGCCCAGTGCTGCTGTGTGCTTATTTGCAGTCCTGCTGCTGTTTTCTCGGATGCGTGGGCTAGCGTGACAGATCTGGGTCTCTCTTGATGTACGACTTGGCTAGCTGGGGCTGATTCCCGGCCATTACCAGCAGATAACAAATACTTATAGAGAGTGAAATGGGATCGGTAAATCAGCGGCGATGAGCTGTCGTTCACCTGGATGTTTATCGCTCGCCATGCAGCTTTGCACCAAAATGAATCTTGATATTTTACAGCCATGTATTTCCTGTTTGTGTGCATAGTTGGTGTTCTGCACCTATGTGTGTGTGTGTGTGTGTGTGTGAGCCTTTGTCTGCCTGCTGCGGGAGCTCATCGTCAAAGCCGGCTAATATTAGTGAAGACTGGCTCTATCTGGACACAAAGCAGGTGGTAAATGAGGATAGCTGCACTGCCTGCGTGTGTGTGTGTGTGTGTGTGTGTGTGTACATGTGTGTCAACAGGGAGATTTTAAAAGTGGTGGCGTCAGTGTTTTTTCGGGGTGTGTGTGTGTGTGTGTGTGTGGGGGGGGGGGGGGGGGGGGGGGGGGGGGGGGGGGGGGGGGGGGGGGGGCTGTAGATGCAGATGCACAGTTTTCTCCAGCAACTGCAGCTGTATAGAGATAGAGAAACGGCACAATGCGCCGTCTGCCAGACAGCAGTCAAAGAGGATTGGAGATTAGCCGGGTGCAGACACAGTCGGTCGATCAGTCAGTCAGGGAGGGAGGGAGCCGAAGAAAAGCAAGAGGGCAGTGTGGTCTCAGGGATTTTTCTCTCTTCCCCCCCTTCCCAGTCTCTCCGGGCCCCGTCGCTGATTTGAGCCTCCAGCCGGTTGTACGTCGTCGCTCTCCTTCTCTGCTCCATCTGTCCCTCCCCCCATCATCTCTCCTCTTTCTCTCCTTCCTCCCTCCCTCTCTCTCACTCTCCCTCTTTCTCTCTTTCTCTCTCTCATACCAAAGCCTGGGGGAGCCAGTGGAGATTAAATGTAGCCTCTATAAGCCAAAGCACATCATGTAGCAATGTTTCTATGGTCCCTTCTCTCTCACACTCTTTCTCTCCCTCTCTCTGTCTCTCTCTGTCTGTCTGTCTCTCCGTCCTCCTCTGAAGCGATAGTGTGAATGATGTCGGCTCGTGTGAGACACACACTCAGGGAAAGAAAGGAGAAAGAGAGTGCGAGGACTGGAAAAGTGGATTTTTGTTTTTCTTTTTCTTTTGCATGCATGCAGAAGAGAACAGAGGATTTGTTTTATGGGTGGAAAACGGACAACGGCAAGGTGGAAAAAACAACGAAAGGAGGACTACTTTCTCTCTACCTCCCTCCCTCCCTCCTTCCCTCCCCTCCTCCTCCTCACCTCTCTCCCCCTCTCTCTCTCGTCTGATACAGAGGAAAAGTGGGCCTCTGGCTGTAAGCGATTACAGCTGTGAGGCAAATTAATGGATGATATTTCTCTCCCCCCTTTTTCATTTAAAAAAAAAATGCTTTTCCTCCTGCCGATCAACACGAGGAGAAAAAAAAAGAGCCAGAGGGGGGAAAAGAAAGAGTAAAGGAAAGATTGAGAGAAAGAGGTGGAGTACTAATATTGGGGAGGGGGGGGGGGGGGATATGGTTTTTTCCTGTCTTCCCTCCTTTCCAGCTCTGCATGTGATTGAAAGAGAGAGAAAACAATGCGAAGGAAAAGGGCGAGGAAGAGAGAAAGCGGAGCGAGACAAGAGATCAGCAGGCGCATTCGTTTTGTCCTTTAACTTGGATTTGTGTGTGTGTGTGTGAGAGAGAGAGAGAGAGAGTGTGCGTGTGTGAAAGTGCATGTGTGTGTGTGTGTGTGTGTGTGTGTGTGTGTGTGCATTTGTTCCCTCGCCAACCTGCCTCGGACCTGCAGGTTTGGGTAAAAAAAGTAAGTAGAGGCTCGAGTGCAAGAAAGGCAAATGAGTGTGGCACTGTTTTGTGTATGCAATGCATGCAAGTGTATGAGTAGGTGTGTGTGTGTGTGTGTGTGTGTGTGTGTGGTGTATGTGTGTGTGTGCAGCCCCCCCCCCTCCGCCTCCTCCCTTCGGTGAGGCAGCATACTGGTATGCTTCACAGGCACTGTGGCCCCGGCTGCAAGCACTGATTCCATGGCTCGATGCTCGCTCTTTTATTTTACCTTTCTTTCTCTTTACCTCTCACACTCTCCGTCTACGTCTCTCACACACACACACACACTCTCTCCGTCTCACACACACACGCACTCTCCGTCTCACACACACACACTCTCCGTTGCTGTGTACCTGTTCTATCTAACCTTTAAGTATCACAATTCCCTTTCAGCCTTTTCTGGGAAGAGGAATCCTTTCGCCGACTCTGTCTCGCGATTCTCTTCCCCAGACTGCTCACTCTCACTGTGTGTGTGTGTGTGTGTGTGTGTGTGTGTGTCGCTCTGTGTGTGTGTGTGTGTGTGTGTGTGTACAAGAGAGCGAAGGGATAGAGGGAGAGAGAGCATGCACATGGTTCATTCCGGCTCGGTCCTACCACCCATCCTCATGCCTCTCTTTCTTGTCTCCGTCCGTCGCTCTCACGCCGTTTTATTTCGCCTGACTCTGAGCAGCTCGCCGGACGGACAGACGGACGGACCTCTTCCTTGTGTTGCTTTCTTGTGAAAAAAAAAAAAAAAAAAAAATTCTTCCTCTGCACATAACTGGAATCTTGTTGGCGTGCTGCAAGTTAAAAAAATCTGAGCTTTCTCTTTCTCTCTCTGTCTCTTTTTCTTCCCCTCCCAAGCAGGAAACGAGCGAGAAGAACAACGGGCAAAAGGGGCATCCTGGATCCGAAGGGGAGGGTGAGTCGATACTAACGAATACTCTTCCTCTCCACTTCCCTCTCAGCTACCCATCTGTTTCCTAAGCTTTAGACCACCATGGTAGCATGAAGGAGCCGTGGAGCTTTGTTATCTGGCTCGTCTTTTCTCCGTGCAGCCTCTCCGGAGGATTTAGAAACCATGCTGAACAGGGGATTTATGCTGGTAATGATAGAGCATGCACTGAATGATTTTATTAACAGCGAAAGATGTGACAGTCGGACGAGCATGCAAGTCATCATGTCAGAGGGATTGTTTCAGATTTCGACGCTGTAATCGATGCGTCCACGCAGGGTTTTTGTCTCGTGTGTCCGCAGCAGTGATTAGCAATCATGGTCTGATTCTGATTTTCCCCGCAACGGCGGGAGATCTCTCTGCATCCTGTACAGCAGCAGGCTCTGTACCTGATGGCAGGAGGCATTTTTCAAAGTGCTGTATTGTTCAGCTGAGGTGGGGGAGGGGGAGAGGGAGAAACACAGAGAGAGTTGGGGGGAGGCTGGCCAATGTTGTGTCTGGCTGAGGCTTGCACTTGTTGTATGTTCACCAATACATATGGGGGCAGTGGAGATGGCAGTGTGTGTGTGTGTGTGTGTGTGTGTGTGTGTGCTCAATTAATGCATGTAATTTAAGAGTGTGTGTCGGATGCATAGCTGCATGTCTGTACCGGGCAGAGCTCGCTCTGTATGCAGGAGATGCTCAGACGCTCTGAGTCCTCATTTGACTTGAAGACGAGTTCGGTACACGGGAGCTCTCTTGTTCAGGAACATGCAAGAATTCTTTTGGTGGCGAACAAAGAGCGAGTCGAAACCCAGGGAGGGCTGAAAGCAGCTGTGTGAGGAGGTGGAGGAGTCCGTGTGAAGACGTATCTCTCTCCGTCCCTGAGACCCTAACTTGTGACGTTGTGCTTTCATGTCCACGGGTTAGGCTCTCGGGAGCTGAGAGGGATGCACGGCCAGCACTGTCTCCCACACGTTCCCGCCTCGAACAATGGCGATCAGAGGCGGGAGGCCATGGCGCAGTGAGCTAAGGCGTTCACCACACGCTCACCATGTCACACATTTCACTTTGGCTCACACCCTGCTGTATGTTGCATGTCACCTGGGCTAATCTCTTTTCCGTCTGCTGCACCGCCGCATACGATGAAATGTAGATGGAGTGGATAGTGCAGATGGAGCGGTACATCTCTGGGGTCTAGAGGATGCGGATGTAGTGGCAGGGATGCTGTTTTAGGGGTCATGTGACAAAGTTAAGGCGAGATGAGCTAAGGCATCTCGATGGACGACAGGAAACAATCGTTTAGCAGCAGAAGCCTCGAACCGACGGCTAAACTAATTATCAGCCTTTTATATTTGCCTGAATTGAACCTCATATATCAGTCAGTCAGCATCGCCAACCTTAATGTCAAAGCTGCTCACATATAGACTGAAGCATTTGGTGTAGTCTCATGCTAACGTAGCATCAGTGCCTTTTATTCTGCTTTTCAATGGATAGTTTAAATGTTGGCGGTCTAAATGTTTTCAGAGGGATGACGTCTGGTAAATACTGAATACGTCCAGATTTAAGCATCCATGCTAAGTATTTAGCAAAGCAGTAGCATACTGATAACAATCACAAAAAGTCTGATGCTAATTGAACCCAGTGCCAACGCTCAGTAGCTTCCTGAGCCGCTAGCTTACCATAGGTGCTAAAGAAATAGCTCAACAGCTGGTTAGCATCAGAAGCTAATGAGAGGTGCTAATGCTGCTGTGATAGCTTCACATCCCGGTGGACACTGTTCGCTAAAGACGCCTCTGTCGGTGTGATAGCTCTTTGTTTCTCCAGCGGGCCTGTCGGCTATCTGTGTGTGTGTGTGTGTGTACCCTTCTGACTTGAGAGCAGCACAGAGTAATGTTGAGAGCGTGACCATGACAGCTCTGTACATTATGTGCTTGACCTCAGTGAACCCTCAGCGATGTCGGAGCTCACTCACTCATGCTAACACAAATGTAAAGGTGGCAGTGGGAACACACTCACAGAGCAGCTAGCGGCGTCTGGTGTGACCAACTGGCGGCGCCTTTTGCCTCCAGACGACGACGACATCACCGCCATCCATCATCCATGTGTGAAATGTATCTGTATGACTGTTGATTTGATTGTGGTGTTAAGCTTCAACTGGAGTGACGGTGCTGTTGAGACTAACAACGGCCCCACTCACTGACTGAGAACAATTCAGCTGGTCACAGTGGTGAAGAGGCACATGGCGGCACATTTTCGTTTGAGCCTTGAGATTCTTTTCTCTCCAACAGGTTGTTGAAGGGTTAGATCAGCATGTCATCCTCCCCTTGCACCTTGCAGTAGACTCTCAGGGGGCCCTCACTCTCCTGAGATCCATCTGCAGCATATTTTTGAGCAGCAGCTCCTTGAGAGCATGATTCATCGATATTTGACTTAGGCCCATCACACCGTCGCTAATATCTGGTTTTAATGGGGCGCAGCGTGAATACTGACGATAACTCCTCTCCATGGACGCTCCCCTTTGTTTAACTGGATTCTAAACTCCATGCACTTGTGGATCTGAGTTTTTAGGAAGTGGGGATTGTGCTGGGAGGTTAGTCATGCTGATGTGTGCAGTCAGGGTCTGCAGAGATGCATATGAAAAACATATTTTGGGGTGTTAGATGATGTTGTGTCAGATGTTACGACTAAGATTTCAGACATGCTTGAGTTCTGTCTCTATGTGGCTGTCGTCTCAAATCATCGTGACCCTGAGGCTTCATTTAGTTTGATCTTTTCGACGTCGCTCTCCGCCTTGAAAAGTACATTTATCATTTTCCCTCCTTCGGCGCCATTTCTCGCCCTGATGGCAGCTGGATGTGTCGTGCTCGTTTGTTGCAAAAGATGCTTCATTCTGTTTTTCTGCATCAGCCGGGCTCGTGTGGAGAAGCTTCCGTCCTGATGTTAATGAACTAATTTGGATTTTAACTTGAACCCCCTTTGCGCTGCTAATCTGAAGCTTTAGCAATTCTCTTATGTAACGCCTCTGTCAGCCCCGTCTCTCTCTGTCTCTGCCATCTCCCCGCCTCAAAATCGTTTTTTATTTGTTCAGTTCGGTGAACAAACACTAACCTGGAGCGAGTTAGTGTCTAGCCGGTAAGCTCGAAAAGGGGCTGCAGGCTTGCTCTCCATTGTTCGGCTGCTCCGCAGACTGTCTGTACACTGTGTCCCCATGGCCGAGGCAGACATGGAGGATAGACGGGCAGACAGACAGACAGCTGCTTCATCGGCCCAAATGTTGATTGAATTTTTTTGTGTACCAAAAAAGATATAGGCCGATCAGCGCCGTCGACTCCTGACGTGATGGAGATGACACGGTTTGCATCTGGAGAGCCTGTGTGCTGAATTCTGACCTGAGCTAGCATTTAAGGGGGATTTAAGGAAAATGTTAATCTTTGACTGAGTGGGCACTTTGTAGCCGTCGGCCTCAGGTGCGTCAGGCAGGCAGTTAAACCTGTGATGACACCTGCGATCCTGCAGCAGCCAGTGTCACAGATTTCAGTATTTGAATCCCAGAGTTGTGTAAATGCAGCTTTTGTGACTCAAAATATCCTCCACTCAAATATCGATTGATTCCAAACGCGAGCAGGCAGCTGATGATTGATTAAAGTCCCTTTTAAGGTGGATTTTTGTTAAGGCGGACTGTGGAAGTTGCAGCAGACTCCCAGTGGACGACTTCAATCTGGTCAAATGGGAGTTGAGTGTGTGATAGTTACAGTGTATGTGGGCAGGGTGTGTACGATGAGTTGCTGCAGGGTTACGCCCAAAGCGCCTCAGGAACACGTTTAAGGAATCAGCCCGTTTGGGTAAATAAGAAAGATAAATTATTGATCGGAAAGATCGATTGCCACGTCGAGAAAAAAGCGCCAAATGAGGCGACAGACGGCTGGCGACGAGCCTAGACGTCTCTTTGCGGCAGCGGGGTGGTTTCTCTCCGTGTTGAGTTTACAGTCACCATTCTGCAGTTTTTCCTGCCACTCCCTTCAACACACCACCCGCCTCGGCTCAGCTGCAGGCGGGTGAAGCACACTCATCAATAATCAGAGCTGGTCAGCGTGTGTGTGTGTGTGTGTGTGTGTGTGCTGCCTACAGTATCTGTCAGCATGTCTGTAATGTCTGTTTGTGTGTGTGTGTGTGTTTAGCGGTTCTTCCCACTGCAGAGGGGTTCACTACCCCTTCCTTCCAGTCTGTCGGTGAAACAAGATGGCGTCGCAGCTCCACGTGGGCCCTCCCGCACTGGTTAATGCCCATTACTATGGCACCGGGAAGCCATAGGTGCACCTGGGGCGTATTTACTCGCCACATAGCTGAAATTGCTGAGGCGCTTCTCAGTACTGTAGCTCGGCCGACTTGGAGAGATTTAGAATTTGGGGCACATCCAGTCTCTCATTGTTTTTCTTGTTAGTTTTTTCACTGTCTGTGTTTCAGCTGCCAAACTTTTGTCTGCAATCTGGTTGGTTTTAAAAGTGCAGGTGGGGCCGATGAGTTTGTTCTCAGCACGATTTGTCTGTGTGTGTGTGTGTGTGTGTGTGTGTGTGTCCTCTCTGACTCAGGCTAAGGCCAGTTTAAAGGAGCTTGGGGATTGTGCACACAGCCACATCACACCAGCAGATTAACCAGACTACACACTAACCTCATTAATCTGAGAGAGACTAATGTCACCAACAATGTGTCAGCAGTCACACACACACACACACACACACACACACACACGCATTTATATGTGTCCCCTTTGTCTGTACCTGACAGAAGCCCAGGTAGAGCCGACTGGAGGTCCGAGGCAGAGCCCGTTTCCTCCGCAGTGTCGGTGTCGTCCTGCTCCGGGTCATGTTGGATTTAAAGACAGGCTGGAAATCCCCCTGATGAATCAACATTTAACACTTTGCTGCCACGTCAACCCAAAAAGCTGCAAACACTTTTTTTTTTTTTTTTTTTTTTTTTTTTGGATGTTTGAAGGAAAAGAGCTTAAGCACGTTGGCTGCGGTCAACATTTAGGATCATTTTCTGCCTCAACAGCCTCGATACCAGGAAGCTGTGCGCATGTGATTGTGTGTCCACACACACAGATTTGATTTGGGGGTTTTTGGTTTCTCATCCTTTTTTCAACCAAGCTGGCGAGTTCCTGAAGGACTGTATCTGTAAGCTATTTGATGGCGATGATGATGATGATGGGCATGTCACACAGCAGCTGGATCAGCACCAGATATTATAACATGAGCAGATCTCAGACTGAATCTGAGGCCTTTGAGAAGACGTCACGGCTCCTGTAACGAGCCATGAGACACTGTGACTACAATGGAAATCACTTTTTTATAAATTATCTGAATCTGTTGTTGAGAGCTGTGACAATTAATTTATTTATTGACTGGTCAATCGACAAAAATGCATTTGCTACTATTTCAACCAATGAATCATTTCAGAAGTTTTTAAGCTGCTCAGATGTGAGAATCTGACGCCTGTCTTCGTCATGCATTCGACTAAACTGAATATTTAAAGGTTTTGGACTGTTGGTCAGACAGAACAAGGCTTCTGGAGTCATCACCAAAGACTCTGGGAAATTACGACAAACATTTTTCACCATTTAATCACATTTTATTGACAGAACGATGAATCGCTTTTGAAAATCGCTGGTCGCAGCTGTGCTTCAGTGAGATTTAAATCTGACAAGATTCTGTAAATGGAACAAGAGCAACATAATATACAGATAATTAAGAAGTAAATAAAATTTTGGACCCCACCCTGGGAAGTTTAAATAAATGCGACTAAATACCGCACTGCAGTGGCGTATTAGGCCTGTGCGTCCGAGGCCTCACCCCAAATGTTTCATTAATCTAAATATACAGGCTATTTGTATATTTCAAAAATAAGAATAGGCCTAAAAATAAAAATAAAAATAAAAAGCATCTGATGTAATAATCTGTCTTTTCGTTCATGCATTAAACCCCCTGAAAATAATACAACATCGTTAATCAAAAGTTTTGTCGTTCCGATCTGAACTCTAAAAATGAATCCACTGGTTCAACTTTGAAAAATTAAGGAAACAATTTGCATGCAACTTTATAAATCGTTCCAACTCTGGTATTATTGAGTCAATCCTATGAGGCGTTTATGATCTCTGTTAGACAGACATGATTCACTTTGACCTCAAAAAACTTAATTAACCAAATTAATATTTATCCAGAAGTTGTGTCGACATTTAGTGGTCAGACTAGATTATTTAAGATAATCAAACTTATTTATTTTAATTCCATCGCACTTAAAAATGTTTTGGGTTTTGACCAACTTTTAAAATAAGTTGTCAACTGACTAAAACGTAATTTTGTTTTTGCAGAAAAACTCCTTTATTTTAAGTCATTTTTTTTTAGTGTGAGTCAAACAAATAAATGTAGTGCAGTAAAAAGTACGCTCCTCTACAGAGACATAAGTATAAAGTAAATGGAAATACTCGAGTACAAGCACCTCACAATTCTCTTGATTTAAATAACAGCAGCTGCAGAGTTTTCTACTCAATGCTTCTTTCTAACAACAACTAATATTTAAAAAGCAAATTTTGTAATTAATCTCAGGAAAAAAAATGTTTAAGGGTCAATAAGATGCGATGGTGCATGAAAGAGCAACGGAATAGAGCTTGTTCGTCAAAGGAGGATCATCCTGGACCCCCGTACAGAAGACTCAAACTCTAGAGACGCCCCTGCCACACTGTGCAGTCACACTTTACACTCCAGCACAGTTCAGTCACTCACGTGCCTTTTTTGTGTTGATTTTTAACCCCTTGTCGTCTCACTTCCTACAGCACCCTCTTCTCATCTGTTCCTGTGTTTCAGCTCCACTTCTCTTTGTCATGTTTAAAATTCAAGTCCAAATAAATTCACATTCACAAGTTTTAGCAGTATGTTGTCACCTGGTCGAGGCCTCTGAACTCTCAGTCAAAGTTAATTTGTCACTTTCATATTTTATTTATTTTCTGATGTCAACATCATGTTTGTGGCGCCTGTGTGACGCTAAGATACGGAACAGTGATGAGATTTTAACCATTTTTAATTTTTTGCTTCTGTGCGTGTTCTGTTAGGTCACGTCTCGAATTAAAGAATAAAACAGTTTATAACGTGCTGACCAGAGATCATGACCCAAGCTGCAGTGCCAACACATCTCAATATAAAATGAATCTATATGGTTCATCGTGCACAGATGATGCATGTCTGTCATTTGACATCAGAGGATTTGGAGGAAGCTTTTATTCTACACTTTAATGGCATTTTGGCAGTTGTCTGCTTTATGAGGATCATGACTACATATTAAATTTAACTGCATCAAAATGTATAATAATACAGTTTATTCCCTGTCATAAATACAGCAGTGATGTGGGAGCAGTACAGTGAGCCCAGCGTCCTCTTCAGAGCCCCGCTGCTGAAATAGAGCCGTCTTACAGTCGTGTCTAAATGAAGCCATGATGCTGTCATTGTCAATTCTTTCATCTGTCACGCTTATTAATAGAAGCTCTGAATGAGTTGTGGGATTTTTTTTTTTTCTGAATGTCGCCTGACATGTTTTGTATTTTATCTTTTGAGGTATTTTTATACCTTTTTAAATTCTTGAATCGGTTTCAACCAGATTAAATCTTTGGAGTGATTTTTGTTTCTGCAGAGCTGCCAAGACGTGTTACAACATCCTCTGTGCTGACCGCAAAGACATCGCACAGCAAATGGAGCAAAATAAAGACGTTAATAAAGACAGCTGACGTTCGCAGTAGTGGTGTGTTTGCAGTAATTAGTCCATATGATCAGAATGGGATGTATACGTGTGTGTAGGTTTTTTTCAATGGGTCACTATTGCACAATAATACATTATTAATCAATGTGTCGTAGTAATTAGACCTACATGTGAAATATTTAATTAATATTGCAAATATCAACGTACAGCTAGCGTCCTGTATGTGCTGCACATTCTCAGACTGCTGTTAAAGAGCTTTTCTCTTTTCTTTCTCTTCCAGCCGATCACACCAGGTCAGGACATGTCGGGGAATGGTCCGTGAACATGAGACGGATCTGACAGCCACACTGACGCAAGCTTCAAACTGCCCAAACACACACATGCTATGATATGAGATACTGTGACGCTGTAGATGTGTTTTACGTGTCATACAGAAATGTTTGATGTAAATAAAATGTGTTTTAAAAATATCATTCTTTTGTGTTATTTCAAGAAGTGCACTATTCTAACATTGTATTATTCTTGGTACACCAGTATTTGAAAGATATTCAGATTCATAAGGGACTGTTCTTTATTTATGAAAGGAGAGGTGTCACTTTTTTTTCTTTATTTTGTAATTTTGACCCTCCCTGATGCTACAAATAATTTTCCTCCATGACCCTCCCTCCACCATGAATTAATTTTTTAAAACGTACTCTTTGATGTTTGAAAATTAAAAGCTGAAGATGAAATTGCAGAGTTAAAAAAAAAAAGCCTCGGTGTTTTCACTCTTGCAGTGCATGCTGGTTTATTTTTGGTGGTTTTAATTAAATTTAATTAAAAGATACTATCTCTAGCTCAGATTAGGTGATATTTTTTTCCAATGGAAGCGCTCTTCACACATGATGTGTCCAAGGACAGTTGCAAATTTCAATATCAATCAATAATTTCTGTTTTTACAGCTCCTGGCATCTATTAACGGAGTAACCCAGCATGTTTTCTTTAAAAATCTGAAGTAAAATTAATACAAAAAAACAATTTAAACACGTATGCCTCACATAAGTGCTTAAAAAGTTATGTGACGTGCTTCCACCCTTTTGCATCACCTCATAAATAACAAACAGTCCCTAAGTGATAGCATATACCATCACTTAGCATTCATCATGCTAAATGATTTCACAGCTAATGCTAACACTTTAGCATATACTGTTCTATGTGAATGTACACTCCATGCTAACACCTTAGCATACACTGTGCACGTTAGCATGCTGTGCTAGGCCTCAGTGATGGCACAGGACATGTTGATAGCAGGTATCATAGTAACACCATGTGTGGTACATGTAGCACTGGTATACAATAAGCTAACGTGTAGGTGTCCACTATTCTGGGAGCTGATGCCTCATGCTAACATGTTAGCATACACAGTGTTGAGTGGTAGAAGGCTTCATATTAACCCTTCCTAACACATTATACTGTATGATAGCACACTACAGGCTCCCTGCTAGCACTTAAAGTCAGACTCATCATGCTAACGTCACAGCACACGTTATGTTGAGTCTCTCTATGTGAACATGTAGCATAATATCCCACCCTCGTGTTCTCGTGTGCTGCTAACGATCAATCGATGACTTTCATTCCAGAAGTTGCTCAGCGATGAAGTGTCAGCTCTCTGCGGTGTCCGTCAAACCTCAACCTGCCTCCTCCTCCTCCTCCTCTACCTCAGTGATTCATCACATTTCCAAGAATGTATTTCGACACCCCAAGCGAGTCCTTGCCCGGACTTGTTTCAACCAGCTTTTGGTTTTATATGGGATAAAGTGATAGCGACGAGAAACCGTGGACAGGTTGATACAGAGCGAGGGTTAGTAGCTGCAGCGAAGTCAGGTTTGTGGACTCAGCGATTCTCAGCTGAACTTTGACCCACATGTCAACGATCTCACGCTGCTCCCACCTGAGATATGTTACCACAATTAAATCAGCTGTGTCTTTTTCTCACCTAGAAATGCTTACTGCTTCTGTATTCTCACGCCTCGACCACTGTGACGCACTGTGTACATGCCTCAGTAGATCTTCGGTGGTTCAGGTACAGCTGGTGCAGGACGGGACAAATCGTAGGTCAGATATCCAAATCCATCCACTGGTTACCAGTTAACTTCAGAACTGATCTTAAGGTTCTTTAAGTTACTTTTAAAGCTCAACATGATTCCCCATGGTTCTGATGATGGTCCTACGTGACCTGAGAGTCTCAAGCCTCACTAGCCGTCCTCAGGTCAGGGCGGGTACCTAAAGGCTCTGGGACTCTCCGCCTGAGGAGATCAGACTGGCGAGGACGTTACCTGTTTTTAAATCATTGGGTAAAACAAATTTTTATCGGGAAGCTTTCCCTTTTAGTGCCTGACTTGTGATCTGTAACTTTGGTGTTCCCTTTTGTTCACACTAAAATATTCAACCGTACATTGACAGTAAATTACTGTATCGTGTTTACAGTAAATTATTGTGAACTGACAACTGTTTACTGTGATCTCAGTAGTTCTGCTTGTATATTACTGTGATTTAGCAGCATGCTTCTGAAAAGTCACAATATTTAATTGTAATCTCGCAGTTAAAGCCTGTTAAATTACTGATTTAACAGTATGTTCCTGTAAAGTTACTGAATTTAACGGTAACTTCACAGTTTATGTACATTAGATTACTATGATTTAGCAGTATGCTAAAATGATGCAGTTATTTCACCCTAACCTCACCGTTAAACCCCATATATTACTGTGATTTAGCAGAATACTTCTGTAAAATCACTTTATTTACCTGCGTGAATTTCACAATTAAATTCTGAATATGGTCAAATATCCAAGTTGTAGCCTTTAAGGTGAAAATAGTCTCATTTACTTTGTGGAAATCATTTGCAGGGCCTCTGTGCTCGGTGTTTTCTCAGCTCTTGACATTAGTTTTTATTATTGTCACTGAATTATTAGTTTTTTTCCTAATGTTCTATTTTCGTGCATTTCATGAAGCACTTTGAGACCTTTTTTAGATTCATGCTGCAGAAATAAAGTCATTATTATTGATATCATCATAACTGTGAGAGAGTCGTGCCCTTTCCTTACAGCGTGTGAAGTTGTGTTGCATTAAGCCGTGCATGTGAAATTCATAGCTCTGCTGTTTCTAAGATGTTCCAGTACATTATCGTCCTGCGATGTAAACAAGAAACCCTGATGTTTCCGATCAAATGAAAGGTTTTCCCTTATTAACCCATCACAGCTGGACTCTACATGTCATCATGTCATCTGTTTGGTTATATAAATGTGCATCACAGGGGGAAGAGAACAACACCACAGATAACTGCATCACTTCACATGTTGCCGTGTCATAAACTTCACACTGAGGTCATTTATCTGGATTTAAACAAAATAAGACTTGTGTTTAAACCCTTGATGATTTACAGGCAGCAGCATGAGATCCACATGTGTGTGTCGACATTTGTAAAAGAGCAAAATGATGTGTTTCATAAGTGGTCATTAAAGAGAGATACAAATTATTTTCCTTAAATTATATTCACATCTTTATACATTTAAACCAACACGTGCAGATTCTCAGTTACAACTGTAAACTGTTGATACTGACTGTGTGTTGTGTTTTATGAGATGATTTATAGTTGTAATGAAGCCTCTATAGTGCTGTATTTAATCTTTTTAATGCATAAATACAATGTGTAACATCCTCTGTATGAACCGGTGTTAATTTATTCTGTGTAAATGTGAACACTGGAATCAAAAAAATGATTTTAGATTCTACTTGCTAAAAAATACCAGGTAGAAAGTTGATGCCTTTCTTCATCTACAGGAACACGGCAGATCATCCTGTAATATCTTCATCATTTAAATCCAGTCATTCAGTGGTGTTGTTAGTCCTGGGCGTCCAAGGCTTCAGACCCAAATGTTTTATTAATAACCTCAAATCTAAATATAAAGAGTATATGCGTATTTCAAAAATAAAAATAGGCCTAACAATAAAAACAAAAAGCCTCCAATGTAATAATCTGTCTTTGCATTCATGCATTAAAGCTCCAAAAATAATATCACTGATCAAAACACAACTTTGGGGCTGTTTGTATTTTTAATCTGCACAAATTAATCCACTGATTCAACTTTTAAAAAATTAAGAAAACAATTCGTAAGGAGATTTATTGAGTCAGTCCCATCAAGCTTTTATAATCTGACCAACTCAGTTAGTTTAGTACAAATATTATGATTTACTTTAACCTGGAAAAGCTTAATTAAGTTGAATCAACTTTATATTTAAAGTCATGTTGACGTTTAGTGGTCTAACTACTTTATTTAAGATATTCTAACTTATTTATTTTAACTCCATCCTACTCAAACCATCTTCTTAAAATAAGTTGTCAACTGACTAAAACACGTTAATGAAACACACGTAATTTATTTTTTTAATGCAGAAAAACTTTATTGTAAGGTTCAACTTTAAAGATTTCAGGAAATATTTGGCATGCATCTTTTTAACTGACATTTTTGAGTCAGTCCCATCAAGCTTTTATACTCTGACTAACTCAATTAGTTTGTACAACTATTATGATTTGCTTTTACCCGGAAAAGCTTAATTAAGTTGAATCAACTTTATATTTAAAGTTGTGTTGACCTTCAGTGGTGTAACTAGTTTATTTAAGATATCCTTATTTATTTTAACTCCATCCTACTCAAAAATGTTCTTGATTTTGACCATCTTCTAAAAATAAGTTGCCAACTGACTAAAACGCAAAAATGCAGCACACGTAATTTATCTTTTTTATGCAGAAAAACTTTATTTTAAGGCTCAACTTTTCAAATTTCAGGAAATATTTGGCATGCATCTTTTTGAGTAGCTCCATCTCTGTCATTATTGAGTCAGTCCCATCAGTTTTTTATAATCTGACAAACGACATGCCGAAAAATCCAAACATTAACCCATAAATCAGTGTGCAAGTTTATAAAGTAACTAAAGCAGACAAATAAATGCAGTGCCGTAGAAAGTATGTTTCCCTCTGAGATGTAGAGTAGTAGAGGTATAAAGTAAGTGGAAATATTCGAGTACAAGTACCTCAAAAGTCTCTAAATGTTAATGAGAGCAGTTGCAAAGTGTTGTGTTCCTGCTCAGTGCTTCTTACTAACAACTACTAATATTTTTACAAATCTAAACTCCGAGGGGAAAAATGTTTTTAAGGGTAAATAAGACTCGAGTGGATACAAAGAGCTTGTGCATCAGGACAGAGGACCAGGTGAGACCCTCCATGTCGTCACACTCCAGAAACACCTCTGCACTTATTTAAATGACATTATTATAAACAGAGAAATAAAGATGGCCGTCAGGTTTACCTCATAGATCCATAAATAAATCCTGACTTGCTTTGGACTGAGCCAAGCGCGAACACGCAGCTCATTTTGACAGTTTGTCACTTTGTTTTGACACTTTGATTTCCCAACCCTCTCACCTCAACATAACT